ATGATAAAAATCAGAGTTTTGTAGGTTTTTAAAAATTGTTTCTAATTGACAAAATTCATGTTTGTTCCTTCTTTGTTACTTCCTGCAGTTTTAGGGGGTATTTTACTAGCTGTAGAAAACCACTGATATAGACATTCCTTTGACATTCATTGGAAAGGGATTTGACCTTTAGGTTTATCATTTTAAATCCACTACTACAATCAGCTCATTTATTCTGAAGCTAGTTATCAACTTTGGGAGATCACTGGATTCACTATTTATACCACCTCTTTAGTAATTTATTGTTCAAGCGCAGGGAAAAAATTAAAAGAAAAAAACAAACAAAAACACCAGCAAATAATTCTACTCAAATTTTGGAGTATTAGAATTCTGGGAGAAAAAGTCAGACTTTTTTATTTTCTAGAAAAGTGGAAATTTTTTTTTATCAGAATAAGGCATTTAAATTATCTTTAAGCGTCGTCAGGTTGCATTTTCAACTCCCCACTTCTTTATCAGAGCTGCTGGTAATTCTGGAACAAACAGAATGATCTGAAAGAGATAGCTTTGGAAAGGATGATCCTGAACTATCAAGACGGTGTTATAATTTATATTCAATAAATAAATGGCTATTGTGTGCTGGCATTGGGATACAAAGATGAAAAAGACACTGTCCTTGTATTTAAGAGATTTATAATCTTGAAGAGAAAGAGATGAAGGCAGATCAGTGCCCTGGAAATTATTATTATTAGTATGGTGGGTACTCCAGTAGGGACTAGAATTGGAGAGTTTCAGAGCAATAGTGGGAAGTGGGAGCAGAGAGTGATGATACAGAATAAAAATGTAGAGGTGGAGGCAGGAAATAGTGATCCTTTTTGGCGAAATCATGAGCATGTGGGAGAAATTGTAAGTGTGGGGTGGTACAAGAAATGGAGCTATGGTGAGAGAAAAGCCTACAGATTTAGGCAGCAGCTAGATTTAGAACTGTAGGTGTTTTGTTTAGGAATTTGGACTTTATCCAGGGGATTTACCAGAATGTGTTTGGTGGAGTATGATAGGATAGAAAAGGGTTTTGTATGATCAAAAATACTTCAGGTATAGCACTTGAGACAAAGTTAAGCTTGTATATTTACTGAAGACTTCTCAGACTCTTTCTATGAGTAGAATCTTTATGACTGTTTGATTACCAAAGTTGCTAGAAGGACTGTCTTCTGATTTGGGAACTGTACTATGCAGTGGGAAATCATGAAGCATTTTAAGCAGGAAATTATAAACAATTTTGTAATCTAATCCTATTCTCAACACATAGTATGGTATTCCTCATTAGGTACTGTTCAACTGGAATTTTTAACACTACTATTTTCAAGTTTACGTACCAGATGTTCTGGGAGATTAGAAAGATCCATGTGACTTCTCATCTGGTTTAAAAAAACCCAGACCAAAAACAATAAAACAAAGAACATGTATTATCTGTAAATGTTAATCATTCTTAATTATTTGAGGTAAAAGTAATGTAAAAGTAAGGAAGCTGAGGATAAATTTGGTCAATTATGGATGTTCTGGTAATTCTTGCTTAGTACTGATTTCTGTAAGATGTTTAGTGATAATTTTTCCCTGCTGATTGTCATTGTGCCTTTGTCTCTTTTTGGACCAGGATTATTTCTGACTAGAGTTTTTATACAGGTGGTTCAAGGAATATAATAAAAAGAAAGCCATCAAGTTGAAACTTGGATTTTTTTGCAAAACAAGAGTGTTTGATGTTTTATTTGGTTCTCAAATATATTTGTTTTGGTAGGTTAAAGTGCAGTCAGTTCTGTGGATCCCTGGAAAATGTCCTAAGGACACTTTCAAGAAATTTAGAGAAAAATTTAGAAGGTAAAAGAGAGGTTAAAGTGATGTCTGGTGGAATAGAAGAGGTTAAGTATGAAATCTAAAGAATATTTCAGACATCTCATTTACGTAACTCTACTTTTTTCTCTCAGTGTCAGTGGTAAAAAAAAAAAATTAAAGCCATCTTTAAAAAAGACTCTAGGCCAGTGATGGCAAACGTTTTAGAGCTTTCAGTGATAACAAACAGCCCACTGCAGTACACATACCATAGGTTCACCACCACTGCTCTAGGCAAATTATTTTACCTCCCTAAGCCTCATTGTCCATATCTAAAATGGGAAAATGGTAGTTTATGTCTTTTAAGGTTGCAAGGATTAAAAGAGCCAATAAAAGTGAAGTGCTTAAAATAGTGCCTAGCACATGCTGAGTGCTTAGTCAACTGTTGTCTTTAGGATCTCTTTATTGAACTGATTTTTTTGTAGGATATTTAATCATGGAATAACAATTACAGTAAAGTTTTCTGGTCTATATAGGGTCCTTTGGAGAATGACCTGCTGGTTCTAAATAGGATTGGGTATCAATGGACTGTAAGAATTTTCTGATTCATACTACTTTAACTATAGCAAATATTTGAAACATTTAAATAATAATAGTGACTATTATTTCCTAGGTATTGCTATTAGCCAAAAATTTTTTTAGCCCCTTGTGGTGTTCACATGCCTCTGGGAGACTGAGTCAGGATGGGCTGCTCAGCCAGAGAACTTAGCAACTTAGTGAGACTCTGTCTCAAAATAAAAGAATACAAGTGGGCTGGGGATGTAGTTCGTAGAAAGACCCTGGGTTCAAATCCTAGTACCACACACATACACATGAGCGCATTTTGAAACATTTCAGCATAACAATATTTTGAAGAGTTAATCCTAATTGTCACATGTTAAAGCCACATTAACTACAATTCTGTTGTTCTGAGGAAATACAAGTTAAGGTTTTGATTTAGCAGGGCATCTGGATGCAAGTATATGTTATTTGCAGCAGTTTTTCACTTTACATCTCAGCTATGTATTTTCAGTGTAGTGTGTAAGTAGTGCTAGTTTACATGCATTTTTTGAACTTATTCTGCTTTTTCCACCATCCTTGTGGGAAATTCTCATTAAAATAATGAGAATTGTATCAAATCCTAACTTATGAAGTACATTCTTTGTAGAATTGAGAATGAAGAACATTGTAGCTTTTTTTTTGCATTTTCAGTTATAAAAAGAGTAGATTACTCTAAAAGTAATCACTTTATTTGCTTTACTTTGTTGGTACTAATGTAGTGCTGTGTCTGCTGTTGAATGAATGAATGAGTGAATGAATGAATGAATGAATGAATGAATAAGTAAAATTTTAAAAACTGGGCAAAACTAACTAGCCACTAGATGGAGCTCTGACTATTTGGGTAGAAAAGAGGCAGTGCAATCAAAACATTAAATTACTCAGCCATATCATGCTGGAGGGCCCCCCGGTGTTTGCGGCCTCAGCTTTTAATTGTAGAATGCATCTTTGTTCTTTGCCTGACCTGGAGGGTGACATCACTGCCTTTCTTCCTGTGCGCTGGCTTTGACACAAGCCAGATGGCCAGAGTGATCGGTAGGCGCCCAGGCTGCCTGGTACAGCAGTTGATGCAACAGAATAGGAAGACGTTTTATAGTCAGCTGCAGAAGCACAATGGGGCTGCAACCCTCCTAAGCAATTACATTTACTGTGCACACTTTATTCCTCACAGAGAAGGGTCTCAAGAAAAAATACATTTTTATTTATAGTGCTGTGAGGTATAGATCTTTGATCTTTTATTAGTCAGTAGTCTGCTCCAAAAGCATGCTCTCTTCCCCCTGCTCTGCAGTCACTCATGAAAATGACATGTTTATTTATGTTTAATGGTTCTTTCAGGCTGTGCATTGTGATAGTTACCTTCCCTCTTCCTCCCCTTTGTCTCCAGTTAGTAACACAAAAATGTTTTAGTTTTGTAGTGAGTTTAGTTTAGAGAAGTCAGAGTTCAGGCATGTTAATACAAGCAGATTTCTGTCAGATATACTCCAGAGTGATTTGGTAAAATATATTACTGCTTATTATGTGTTTGTTCTTCAAGGAGGTCAGAAGAGTCTAGGAACAGACTTTTATTTTGGGGTATGGGAGGAGGGGTAGATATAGTGGTCAGGAAATGAACAAACATCAATTTTATATCCATTTTTAGACATTTGGTGGTTAAAACTACTTAAAATGGTAATTTTAAATAAAACATAAAAATTGATATTAATCTAGTATTTTCCAGTTTCACTTGAAGTTAATTTTTACCAGTTGTAGTACTTGTACAGAACTTTTATGAAAATCCTATAAACTAAACTTTTCTCTAAAACTTAATATTCATACAATTTTGAGATTCTTCCACATGATTCATTTCCAAAGACTTTAGAAAAATGTTATGCTTTTTAATACAGGGGCCTAAGTATTGTTCAGAGAACTTTATTTAGGAATTATAAATCATAAAATCAAATGAAAATTCATGTGCTCCATGTTTTATTTAAACTTAATACTGTTTCTAAAGAGAATTCTTCTAGTTGCCCTGAGGTATTTCTTTTTACTGTATTAAAACAAATTCTAACAAAAGAAGTCTCTTAATCTTACAGTGTTTTATAGCCTTCACTAGGGAGGCAGATTTACAAATAATTGCTGGAAAAAGCAGCATGGTATAAGGAAAGAATATGGCTTTGCAGTGAGATATAACAAAGTTTTTCTAGTCCTTTTTCCACTGATTATTGCTCATTGTCCCTAGACCTCTGAGCCTAGGTTTTCTGTCATAAGTATTGGGGGATAAAACCTGCCTCCTCAATTTATTATAAGAATTAAATAATACAATATATATTAAATTCCAGACAGCTCCTGTTACATGGTACAAACTCAGTAAAAGCGAATTCCTTTCACTGTTTTAAACTTCAGCCTCTTGAAAAATGTGTTCACAGGTTACTCTATTATTATATAGTGTGTATTTTATTCATACAATATAAGTAAGCCTGGGTTGAAAGTAAACTCATCATCTGAAAAGTAGAAATGCGTGTGTGTTCAGTTCCAAATAAAACTGTAATCATAGTCACGGTTCAATGATGGGTTTAACATTTGAGATATTTTAATTTGTCTTTTTTTTTTCTCCTACTCAGCTCTTGCTCCTGTTCTTTGCCTCTCGTTTTGTTGGTGAAGATATCACAGTGATGTCTGCATTCAACCTGCTGCATTTGGTGACAAAGAGCCAGCCAGTAGCCCTACGAGCCTGTGGGCTTCCCTCAGGTTGCTGCTTGTTCTGTTGTACATAGTGAGGGCACTGGTCTGAGTGGGTGTTTTTGCTGCAGGAAATAATATACCACCATACCTTGCTAAATTTGTTTTCTTTTATTTGGGCCCTGATTTGAAGACGGAAATTGGTTATAAGTCAGCACTCTACTTTGAGTAACATCATTTCCACAATCCTTACAACCCTTGAAGACATTGTCCAGTTTCCTTGCCAACTATATAATTATTACTAATATTTCATAATATCTTCTTGTCCTTTAATGCACACTCACATCTGCAAATCATAATGTTCATAAAGGCTGGCAGTAGTAGTAAGAAATTGCCTCAAATCACACAAAGTAGGACATTCATCTTGCTAAAGGATAATGAAAATACTTTCATCCCACATGTGGCCATTCCTTTATGAATAAAAGTAAAATGAACAACTTTAGCATAATTAAGTTACTTGTATATTATAGTTAAAAAGAAAAGATGTTCTATCCAACATTGACACATAAACAGAATTAAGATAGCACGTGTTAAGTGGTTCATATATTAGAATCATTATACTTTTAAAAAATGCATAAGCATTTAAAGAAGTGAACTGTGAAATTTGAAAATTTAATGTGTACATATAAGTTTAATGTTTAAATGTTATGAGAATTGTAGTGGTCAAATATTTTATTTCTGTGAATATGATTACCAGTATTATTTAAATTTTCATTAGTATACATATCTATATTACAATATTAGATGGAGAGTTTAGTTCTAACTCATTAAGCATTTACTGATTTTGAACTATGATGCTAAGCATTATGTTAGGCAGTGAGATATAGTGATATAGAGAAGGTAAAACTACTTTTTCTTTACTATGTTCAAGACAGAGATGGAACTCTGTGAGAATCTTTGAATCATGTAATGATACGATTAAACCAGAAGTATTTATGCCTAGGGCATTATGGGACTTCATAGGAAGATGGGCCTATCTTTTCTTTAGAAGAAATTTTAGAAGAGAGGCATAGTCTGTGAAGTTTAAAGAGGCCTCCACAGAGGAGATAGTGCTTGAGCTGAATCTTAAACCACGGGCAATAGTTAGCCCCATTGCCCAGGAGGGAGAAGAAAATTTTAACATATAGATTAGCGGGGTGAAAAATGAGGGCCTAGAAGTGCATGTGTTTTCAAAACATGCGAGTTATTTACTATAGATAGGTAGCTTGGAGAATGAGGGCAAATGGAAGAGGCAATAAAGGAAAGATAGCCAAATTACAAGTACCTTAATGTTCCAAAGAATTTAAATCTTGGGAAAGAAATGGAAGAATATGGTTTCATTTGCATTTAATAAAGACTACTGCTTGAGTATGCAGAAGGTCAGTGCTGGTTTTCTATGTTTGTATGAGAGAAGCTGAGGTGATAATTAGAAGGCATCTGTCTTGCAGTATGTGAGTAACAAATACACTTTAAAAAAAAAGATTTTATGACTATTTTTGTAGCATGAGGGGCTAATGCAACTTAATTCATGAAGACTCCAACCATATTCTCAATGTTTCTTCTGGCCCTCACATGCCCCGCATAGAAACTTACAGTATATCAGAGGAATTTGGGACTGGATGATCATGAAGATTTGCAGTGGTGACCATTGCAGTGATCATCACAATGGATTTGAAGAAAAGGGGGAGGGGATGGATTACATCTGGAAAGAGTCCAGATGGAGAACTGACAAGCTTATCTGTTACATTGTACCTGAGCTTGAAGAATAGCAACCAGGGTAGTCCTTGTGCCATGTGGGACATTATCATTGCTGTGTATCATGTACAGCAATTGGGCTAGAAAAGTTATTTGGTTTATAGGGAAGCTGGCAATGATAGAATGCTCCTAGTATAGTTCTTATGACTTGGGTTTGCTATACATAGAGAAAGCTTAGTGTTTACAGAAGCAACTTACTAAGAGTATATTCTTGAGACATGAAATTCATGTCTTAGCCAGGCATGGTGGCATGTAATTTAATCTCAGTACATAGGGAAGGTGAGGCAAGAAGATCACCAGTTTGAGCCTAGCCTGGAAATCTTGACAAGACTGTTTGAAAATAAGAAAGAATTGGTAATGTAGTATGAAGGCCTTGGGTTTAATCTATAGTAAAACACACACACACACACACACACACACACACACACACACACGCACGTGCCTATACACACACACACACACACACACACACACACACACACAGAAAAAGTCTTTACATTTTGATAACAAAATGATCCTAAAATACATTTAACAAAGCTGATAGTTTTTACTTGGTTTATAAAGAAAGTATACCAACAGTACCTACCTAAAAGGGTTTCTGTGTCTTACTGGAATGTGGACAATGTTTAGAATACTGACTGGCATAAAGTAGGCACCGCATGTCTTCAAGTTCACTGTAGAAATCTTTGTGTGCATATCCAAATAGATATGTATTTTTCCAATAAAAGAATTTCAGAAACATGTAAATATTAGCCCATTTTTCATTTAATTAATTTATTTTAATAAGACCCAAAACACTTTCTATTTGAGAAAATAATACTTCAGTCTATTGTTTTGATTGCTTTATTTTACTTATATATTCTGCTGACAACACATTTTTTATTTTATTCTTACTCTCCAGTATTGACAAAAACCCTGACAAAAGCTATCTTTCTTACACAGGGCTGATAGACCTATTATAATATGATAAATGAATTGCTATAAGAGTATTTTGTAATTCCTTAACCATTTAGGTACCACTTAAATTTTAAAGTATTATAAAAGTCATTCTTCTAGTGCTTACATATTTTACAACTTGATTATTAGCAAAATTTTATTGTTTATTTCTCTAACAGGATTTTACTCTTATATGTATAGAAATGTTGAAGAAATTATGGTCAATAAAATGAAAGGAACTACTTAAACTTTGAAATATAAAAGTGACCTTGAAATGAGAGTTCTAGTCTTTATTACTTTATACAGGTAGAGAGAGAAGAAATCAAAATTGGAGATACAGGAAATTAAGGTTAAAGTTTGAAGTCATGCTTTAATTTACTGTTCCCTGGTCAAAACCAATTACAACAGAAATCTCTGTAAATAAAAAAGATCTCTGTTCCCAGGCTAGTACCCTACTAATTTTGAGTATTATTCAGTATGAAGTAATTCCAGAACTAAAAAATATTTGGAACAGGCTCTTGAAGTTGATTATAACTGGATTGACCTGTATGAAGGTCATATCCCAAAAGAGTAATTTATCATTTTTCAGCTTTGACTTCCTTTACTTATTTTTTAATAAAGCATAATTTTAATTTAGAGCTTATTAAGTGCATCTGAGCTATGGTTCACTCATGTGTGTCATTAAAGGTAATTTTTTCCTTTCAGAATTTCCTCTTAATTTCCTATAACAGTTTATTTTAAGTATTAAAAAGAACATTGGAATAGGAGTCAGAAAACAATAACCATCGCTCTGTCATTAACTTGTGTGGCCTTGAGTAAATCAGTAAACCTCTTTAGATCTCAGTCTTGTCATCTTTAAAATGAAAAATTAAAATTAGCTAATCTAAGAAGTCCTGAAATTACTTGATTCTATTAACTGCCAATGTTTGACCTTTAATTACACCATAATGATACTAATTAATGATGTAAATTTACAGAAAAGCCTACTAGGTGGTTATGGGAGTACAAAAATATTTTCCATTTGAGCATTAGAACTTCTGGTTGCTAAATTAAGACTAAAGCATTATCTAAGGAGGATTTTAGTAGCATAATTTTACTCATGGTTTTAGTATTAGATAAAAATTCAATGTAATTCCAACTTACACTAGATATCATGATAGATATTTATCTAAATAGTACTGATTGTAATGATAAAGTATACTTTTTTTCTAACCTCATGTACAAATAGTAAGATGAAGACTTAATTTCAGGGGTATATTTAGCAATCTCCATGAATTGAAGCCCAAAATGGATGTTATGTGATTTTTAATAATATTATATTATAATATTCTAATGGATAAATTAGAGATCTTAAAAGAGGAATTTTGCAAATGGAGTTTGAAAGTCATCTGTAATAAGTAGAACTCCTGTGAATTAGAGCTTATGGCACAGTGCTTGGCACTTAATACATATTTGTTAAATTAATAAGTGAACATTTAGAAAGTTTACATGTAGGTGAAGTCATAACTGTAACAGCATAAAAATTTATTTGAGATTCCTTTATATGGGAAGATTAAAAGTAAGATTCCTAGTTTAGTTGACTTTGAATTTATTTTCAAAACAATTTCTCTTTTCTCACTTTATTGTATTAATGTATTATAGTGGAATCTTAGGTATAAATCATATTATAAACAGATAATAAAAATGATTAATACAGATAGAGAATGTATTATCCAGAAATGCTCTTATTTTTCTTCTCAGTTTTGATGCTATATTAACTGAGAAAGTGAAAAGTGCTTTACTTTTTTTTTTGAGACAGGATATCGTTAGACAGTTCAAGCTGGCCTTGAACTTGGTAGGCTGCCCAGGCTGGCCTTGAGTTTGTGATTCTTTTACTTCAGCCTCCCAAGTAATGGGATTACAGATGTGTGTCACCATGCATGACTCTGGTTCAGTAAGCACATCTTATATTTATTGTAAAATTTAAGAACTCTGGATTTTTAATAACGTTTTAGATCAAATTAATATTCTTTTGTCATTTAAATTCTCCATTTTCAAAAGACAATAATACATATATGTTTCAAAGCAACATCCATAAGCAAAAAATGCTTCCTTAAGTTTGAGCTGTCAATAGTTCATTAGTAACAGCTAGTGTTGCTAGTAATGTTACATTAAAGAGTAACTGAATTTGCCATTGTTCTGTTCACTTCCTGAAGAGATTAATTATCTGTATTAGTGTTTTTGGAACCTTTTGGGTTATGAAAATATGGGTCACTTCTATAGCTCTTTGATAAAAACCATGACTGTCCTATTAGAAAAACATATGTGTGCATGCACCTAAGAGTGATTTTTCAAATAAT